CGTCCCGGTAATTCGCATGTCCTCACGTTGCCTGGCTACAGGTGTGTCGCTGTCTCGGGGATGATCAGCCCGGCCAGAGCGCACATACCAAGAGCTGTCGCCGCTCCTTAACGCAAACCGGAATTCACCTGCTCTCTGCTGACGCGAAACGGGTTGTGCACGTCGCTGCACATTCCGCACATACCACAAATTTCCTTGAAGTTGAATTTGTTTTAAGATAAGACATACGGGTCTCTTTAATTTTTTTTTCCCCTTTCGCTTTCAATTCGGATGTTTGTTTGGGGTTTTTTTTTCTCCTGCAGGTCACCAGTTCGTTTCTGCAAACAGAAAACTCGACTCCTGACATTATAAAAGCTCGTTGGTGGTGGTGGTGGGGGGCGGCAGTAGAGAGGGATGCAGTACTGTACTGTGCTGTAACGTGGTGAGGGGATTGCGGCGGTTCGGCGGAGAGGACGGCCTCGGAGAATAGGCAGGCTTGCAGCTTCACGCAGGCAGAGGGCTCCTGGCCCTTCCTGGTTACACAGGTGTGCTGCTCACCGGGCAGAGATAAGGGGAGAGAGAGGCTGCAGGCCAGACTTCAGGAGAAAGAGAGAGAAAGGGCAGGAACAAGTTCTCCCAGTTTGCCAGACAGTGCAAAGAAGGTGAGCGTTGGTGGAGAACTGGGGGGGGTAGATGCTACTACCCTCAAGATCATGGGGCAAGTGTCCCTAACTCCGGGGTGGGAGTGGAAGGCTATTACCAGTGCTCTGTGGGCACTTCAATAGTAGTGGGGTAATACCAATATATGACTGGAGTAAAAGGTGTCTAGGTTATGCACAGGTACAGTAGGTACATCCACAGTAAGTACGGATCAAGGTTACAGAGCCCCAGTAACCTTGCACAAGGAGGCTAGGGTACATCGGTTTAACAGGGTGGTCAGTGATGTGGGCCGTGTCTTGGTTTGGTGTGGTGGGTGGGATCGATTTCAAACTGATTCAGAGGTTCTTGAGTGGCCCTCGCTGTGTGTGAAAAGCTGCACAAGCACTTTTTCTAGACTATTTAATGAAGTTACATGTCCTAGCTGAATGACTTTATGCTTTTGTGTTGCATCATGTATTACATAACACCATTTATGAAGCCGTCATGAAAGAGAAGAAAAACATTACAAAACAAACACAAGAAAACAGATACAATGGTCAGATAAAGAAGGTAATTATCTACTGCACTTCCCCTCTCTCAATTTAAAAGGAAAGAAAAAAAGGAACTGCCATGTGGCTATTAAACAAAGGAAAAGAGAGATTTAGACAGAAAATAGTGGAATGTTCTGGGCAAACAAGCAAGTTATTTTATTAAGCCGGTCTGTGGAAAGGCACTGTGTTTTGTTCCAGAGCAGTTCTGCATCACTTTAATGCCCCTAGCTGGGGCAGCGTGATGAGTAAGTAACACAAAGGGAAGATCCCGGCAGCCGCTGCAGACCGTCGCTGTGTTGTTGCCGTGGGAGGGCTTCCTTAAAGCGCACTTCCTCACCGCCGCCCGCCCTGCCGGCGCGGAGACGCGGTGGAGCTGGGGAGGACCCGGACTGCTGGGATCTTCTGCGGGGAGCGGTGGCTGGATGGACGTTCACGTTCCGGTCCGGTGTTTCAAGTTTCAGAGTTTCGGTCCAGTGTTCACTTTGTTATTTTGGTACTTGTGAGGTATCAAAGATATTATCTGTAAGGTAATTGTGCTTGTTCTGTCAGTGCAGAGACGGGTGAAGACAGCAGTAAATCCCAGCCTCAGCCGTGCTCAGAAGTGCGATGGTGAGTATTATTGCATTTGACTATTTACTTAAAATATGTATAAATCTCAGAACCAGCCTAAACTTTGCAGAGAAGGAGAACTTACACTTTTACTTACTTCTTTGTAGCCGTATCTTATCTGGGTTTTTAGTTGTTTTTCAAGAAATGTGTAAATGAGTTTTTATTGAACTAGACTCAGGGTTGGTGTTCTTCAATGGCAGAGATGCGAGAATTAGATTTATTTTTTAGGGGCACAGATGTGCTGTGGGAAAATCATGCAATTCCATGAAGGTAGTTAATGTTGAATAAGTATGTAGGAACTGCATAAGAATAAGATTGGTTACACAAGAGGAGGCTTTCCGCCTTCTGAAACTCCTAGCAATGAAGATGGGAAACAGAACAGTTTTCAGTTTGTTCCCCAAACTGTTTTGTATAGTATGTAGACATAAATACAAGTACTGTATTATATTGTGTGTAAAAGCATCATGACGACATCTAGTGGTTGATCGCACACATTAAGCACCTACATGGTTTCGATTAGCCGTCACAAAGAATATAAGATCAGATCACTTTATTGGCTATATACAGCTTCTTGCATTAGGAATTTGTCTTTTCGCATACCCCAACCTGCTCTCCATGAGACACACAGACAGGGAGAGAAGCTGGGGGTCAG